CACATTGTTTTTGATGGCATATGTCGTTAAAGTATAAAAAAAAGATATCTATTATTAATAAATAAAAACGGAGACAACAAAAGCGGAGGGCCAGTGCTCTTCATCATCATGACTAACCATCGGTGGTGGTGTGTGTGTGTCGCCCATCACCCTATTGTTATAGCCCATCGATGGTCTGTACGGACATTAATGTTGGCGTAAGTGTTTGTATGTGTGAGAAAAAGTGATGTATGGATTGAGGTTTGTTTTGTTGGTGCAGTTGTTGTGGCATTTTTTGTGGTAATGTGTTTTTTCTTGGTGGCAATATTATGGCTGTTGGAGTCAATTATTAATATCTGCGACCACACTATCTGATGGCTGAGCCGACTCTTCTGGAGGCCGTCATCTGCGGTGTTGTCGTCCGATTGAAAGCTGACTGTTGTTGTGGTTTGCAATCAATCTCATCGCTATTATCGCCACAATTGTCGATACCATCGCATACGGATGTCCTGCTGGCCAGACATCTGCTATTCTTGCACTGGTATTCCTGTGCCTTACAGCCGGCGCTCGTATTGATGCTGGCATTACAGCCGTCTGTAATATATGCACATGTATTGAATCCAATGATACGAAGACATCGATGAATGCAAACGAGAAATACATAAAGAAATCAAACGGAGAGAGAAAAATGAAATGAAATAAATTCAATCATTGAATATATTATGATAAGGAATATAATATAACAAGAGATTGGGTTTTGTGTATAATATATCGGTTGTATTCATATGTAAAATGGATTTAAATTTTTCTTATTTTGTTAGTTTCCTTTCAATCAATTTTCTCAGTCGTCGATAGTATACAAAATGTAGAGAAATTTTGATCATAATTATAGATTTGATTTGAAATCCATATCTAAATCTGCAATTTTCTGATTACTATACATATGTTGTTTGGTATGGATTTTTCCATATTCTGTGAGCTATTATTTGTAACCAAATATATTTGTCTCTAATATTTGCCATTTGGTTGGTGTGAATGCCATCATTAATGCGGTGCACAAAACACATCCATCATTTGGTTAGAGAGGGAGTGAGAAAGGGATGGGTATTGGGGTTAGGGATAGGGATGTTGTGATGTTGTGTGTGATGTATGTGTTTGCTATGGTATGCGATGGTGTGTTGTTTACATACCGGGTTCATCAGAGCCGTCGCCGCAGTGTTTATGGGAATCGCAAAACGATTCAATTGGTATACATTGTCCGGAATTACACGTGAATTGATTTTCTGTACACACTGTAGGAAATACGGAAAGAGAGAAAAAAACATTAATGTAAAAAAATCATTGAAAAAATTCATTAAAATTTAACCCTAATGTTTTGTCGCACAAAAAAACTGCATAACACGAGGTGAAAGACTGGTGACAGTAATTAAATGACTGTGAATTTAGTCGGGAAATGGATTTGAATGGAAAAAAATAATTATTATTATTTATAATAAGATTTGAGGAGTAAGTGGAGCACAGAATCCAGTGATAAAACCAGAATATAATAGATAACACAGAAAAATTCATATTTATATTTCATACATATAATAAAAATATATGTATTTTTATCATTTCATTCAATTGTCGTTATAGTAAATGAGGGGAAAAGAGTTAATTGTCTGATAGTTTAACCATCTATTCATCTCTCGAAAGTATTTGTTGGGATTTTTGTTATTATTATTATTAATAAAATGACAAAAAATGGTAAATCTATTTTTCATACAGATATAGTCATTAGGATTTCCACTGTATAATACAGTCCATGTTATCTATTAATAAATATTTTATACGTTTAATAGCGTTATTCTTATGTAATAAATCAATGCTAGACTTAATAATGTTAGGACTTATGGCGCGATCCCATAGACAATACCCAACGACTAATCCCGTCGGCTAATTATGCGCCAGTATTTCATTAATTATTCAATAATTAATTATAAAGTTTTATACATATTATTAAAAACTTTTTCGTTTGTCATTTGTTTTCTGTAGAAATAAAGTTATTTAAAATTTTCTTATCAAAAAAGTTGCTCAAAACATAAAAGTGAAAAGTTTTCAACAAAACAATTCAATTCGTAATATGTTTTACAAAAAACATTTATTTCAGACGAGAATATTCTTTACAATTTTAACGTTAATAAATTGAATCCCACTTTTCAGTCAAACTCTCTCTCTCTCTCTCTCTCTCTCTCTTTCTTTCTCTCTCTCGGTTTGAATCGTGTGTCTTATTTCACAGCAATTTTCAATTGTTTGGTTGAAAGTGATATGAAATATAAAATACTTTTATTTTGCTGTCAGAAAAATATTTCACTACAGAAAACAAGAGTTTTAATATAAAAATATAAATAATACAAAGTGTTTGAAAAATGCTGTTTGAAATGCAAAGAAAAAGAGAGATAACTATAAAATAGGCATTTATGTTAAAATTGAAATATTCTGTACATTAGAGACAATAATTGCTTTGCAATAAATTACAACTCAATTTATCATTGATTTTATAGTTTAATAAATCCTAAAAATAGAAATTCATAAAAAGTTACTTAAGAGGGTTTTTAGACATTAAAAGCTATTATTAAAAATACTTTTAAAACCATAATATTGTGGCAAAAATACGAAGAAAACCTCTATTTTACTCAATATATTTCAGGCAAAAAGAGATACGATTTTATCAAAAGTAAACACTATTTTCTTGTAAAACAACAATTTTCTCCGCTCTTTGTCTTATGTCTTATATGTCAATTTTTATAAAAAATAATATTTTGTTTTTGTGTTTACTTTGTATTTTCAAATACACGGAAAGGAAATACAGTATTACTTATAGTGAATGTGTTTAAAAGAAATTTGTTTGCATTTGTTGTTACGTTTGTGACCAACAAAACACTACAAATATTTTACAATACAAATAAATACGGGTTGTATTTTGTGAACATAAATATTGGACATAATTATGTGTGAGAGAGAGAGAGAGAGAGAGA